ACACATATAACCCATACGGCTCCGATTTCGGAGTCCCCGACTGGTAGTGACCGTCCCCACATGTGTGTGCAAATACACGCCGCACAGTGCTACGTACACTAGTGTGTTGATTTTCGAAGGTTCAGTACAGGAATGTGCCACACGATGCACTTTAAGGTGCCACGGAACAGGACAGCTTTGCACTCATTAGAATCTTCCTTTTCTAGGCCTACGTGTAAACAGGTGCTTATCACCTTGCCACCAAATCCTATATATAGGTCCGTTCTCAAAGCCGTTGGTAGTGTTATTTGGTACCCGCATCGTGGTCACAGTCTGCGGATTCCTCCTGGGGGCGTCTGTCATCGTCTCGTCCTTCTCGAGCAACGCTATCCAGATGACACTTGTCTTATCCTTGATCACTGGTACGTACTTCTTTTTGTTCATTCCGACTTATAACCAGGCTAATCAGTCTCGATTGGTTGCCACTTGCCACTGGCGTATACTGACGAAGATTACTTGGCTTCGAAATTTGTATCTGAGTATTTTCTGTACGACTTGTAATTTTTTGTAATGCAAGAATACAAATATTGAATGCAGTGTTGACTTCAACTCTCGCGGCAACTATCCAATGACATCTCACACCATTTTGCATGCGAATGGTTCCAGTCATACTGATAAATGATGTCGGCTATTGATAGCCTGCATTTGGACTATACCCAGGTCCTGGTTCCAATAATCGACATGATATTCCTAACATTTATCGTTTAAAGCGGTATTGACAAACTACGATTAACTATATTTGTTGCTCGGATTTGCCTGTAGACTTTAAATCAAGTTGATAGTAGGTCGCCCAGAACAACCAATATGAACCAGCATGCTGTGTCATCGTTCAATTAGTGCTGAGGCTGTGCACTGTTGGACTCGCGTCCAGCATGCGGTGCTGATTCGGTCAGGATACGACACATGGTCATTTTTTTCGGTACTGGGTTTCGGTGCACGTCGGCCCACGACCTTGCTGTGCCCACCCAACGACTTGATCAACAGCCCCCTGGATGGATATGCACGCAGGCAACAACTGTACTGCATATTCATACGTTCCCATGTAGAGCACCAATAGTAGCTAACGCTACATAACAGACTCATCCATTTTTATAGGGATGTTTACATTGACTTGTGCCAGTTTCTTTCGTATCATGCATTAATTCAAGAACAAATCTATTTACTATCTTTTTTGGTAAAGGAACCGGTGCTTTATGGTAAATCATCTTTTAGAAGGTAAATAACCTCTTTAGGGAACGAGACTAGTGGTTGTTGCTTATCCGGTTCGTGAGGCACTTCATCTTACACGCGGACGCGCCACAATTTTCAGGCTCCCATTGGACGATCGCTGAAGTTGTGCGTTAACTTCCGGTTCCATGGTTCCATGTAAACGGCGATCAATGCACGTAACTCTGTGTGCAGTGCATGCATATGCAGTGGGCGTGGTTTAAACTGAGGTGATGTCACACTTACGAACCGGTAAACGTTCAACTAACCTTTTTTTATACACCAGTCAAACTACCCCTATAAATCAATATTCACATCATCGGGATTCTTAGCCAACCAGAGTGCTCCGTCCAATTTTGGTAGCAAGCCCCTTGTATTGTGCACAAGGGCCTGCAGATTGCTCAAGTCGCTAATCGCACATCACCAAACACACATATTGAGGAGGGGCTGCGCCGTTCCCCGCGTGGAGTACGGGCGTTTGACAATAGTGCGCCTCCAAGAGTTTGCTACGCGTTGATTAATCACAGTACACGAAATCTGTCGACCCAATGCGCGTTTGGAAACGGTCGATAGATGTCGCGCCTCTGATTGGTCATTGCGTTGCAAACTCTTGGAGGCGCACTATTAATTGCCCGTAATAAACTGCACGCCGATCCACGCTGCCTACGCATTGCAAGGAAGGTGGACTACAACCGCCCCACTACAGACTTGATTTTAATTCTAATTGTTGACGCTGCTGGTAATTTACACGCTCACAAAAAGCCCGTCCATGATGGCAGGGATCAGTCAAGGGCAAGTTAAAGCGCCAAATATACAGTGTGTTTAAAAGAAAAGAAACTGAGATTAATTTCTTCATTTCTTTGAAATCGCTAAAATATTTTTGAAATTGCCAACCACGACCAGTTCTGATTGAACTGCTTCGTGCTCAGTCATCGGTGACAGTAAATTTGAATTTTTTCGGTGTCATAAGAAAGATGAATGTTGTCAAATTCCAAAATATTAAGCCATGTCCAAGATATTAACAAATTAATCTCGGTTTCCCTTTTTTTAACCACTGCTTTAAAGTTAACTATAGACTTATTAATAGTGATTGAATGGTAGATGGTTAAAATGTAAAGATGAGTTTTTAAATATACGCTGAAAAGGGTTGTTCGATAGTAAGTGAATTTAGCACAATTGCCATTGTTATAAAAGCAATTGACAACTGGTTGTACCAAAATGCTTTGGGGCGGGGTTTTGACCTGGTGAATGTCTTTGAATTATGCGGCGACTTAGAACAAACTGGGAGCGAAGGTCTGTAATTGCTGCATTATTAAGCTTTGTTCTAAACATTCTGCAGGGCCTGGTTTGATGATCACGAACATTTTATCGAGAGCCATGACGGGTCGTTATTTCACCACGAACTATGCGACAGTGAATGGCATTGCGACTGCTGGTGACTCAGTAGGCTTGATTTCCATTGCTCCGTTGACTCAAGTGCTTTTAGACACCTACGGCTGGCGAGGTACCTTGCTACTGCTTGGGGCTATCAGCACGCATCTTGGTGTATGTGGCCTCCTGCTAAGACCACCACCACCATCTGGACAGGTGCGAGGAGACTATCTACCAATCATTACAAGTGAAGAGGAGCCATCGGCAGACGAACCAAGAAGCCCTAGTGTTCAGAATAAATCCCGACTCCGTATCCTGAAGGACGCCATTAAGGTGCAGAAGGATCTTTTCGGCTGCGCGGTTTGCAGCCGCGCCGCATTTTGGATAGCGACGCTTTTCTACAGCAACCATATTTTTGTGGACAGCCTTTGGCTGATATACTTCGTCTCTTACGCTGAGTCCAAAGGTTTCTCCGGGTACGAGGCCGTGACGTTCGCCACGGCTGCGGGGATAGGGAACCTGGTTTTTAAAATTCTTCTTGGGCTGATGGTGGACCGAGGCTGGCTGAGGCTGCGATTTGCTTTATTGCTTTCAGTCATAATTTGCGGCGTAGCTTTATTCACACTTCCCTGGGTAAACTCCTACTGGTTAATGATTGTCAACGCCACCATCTTCAACGGCCTCATTGGTGCACAAGCCTCACTTAGTGACATTTACACCCGGGAACTGCTGGGAGCTGAAGAACTGGTATCCGCTTTCAGCTGGATGGATCTTCTGACGGCCATCATTCAAATCGCTCTTGGATTCTTCCCTGGTAAGAAATACCAAGGTACTTGCCTGGTTTTTACTGGATGAGAATGAATTTAAACATAGCACAGGAAACATTTTTATTCGATGATCAAGTTACTGGGAACGATTCTGATGGGACCTACGTAGAAATGTCGTAGTCTTTGTCGTCGTGTATGAAATTGAGTTCAGAATTATGTGTGTCTTCCTCTCCTTCCCATGAGCGCTCTCGTCCGCAAGTGACTAAAATTTGCTGCACAATCATTTTGCGAATCCAACCTACCCGGCAAAATGTTAAAATGTCTCTTTTGGGTAAGAGTATAGTTCCTCTCTATCATGATCGAATTTTATATATTTCCACTGAAACAGTTAAGTGGTATTCAAACTGGACTGGAATTTCGTCATTATTAATGACTCAAGACAAATGTAACATTCGGGTAGACGTGGGTTGTGCGGTTTTTAACCTTGTGAAAAGTTACATTTCGCTCGTCCCACCAGCCTCATAAACTACAGGGAACTAAACTTATAGAAAGACATATAGGTTTTCTGTTGAGCTCATTAAATACACTTTATTTCTGCCTTGGCACGATACATGCGCGCCCAACTGATATTCATGCTTGGATGAGAACAGCAAATAAAGTAACCAACATTGTATCTTCCATGAATGAAGAAGTTTTTTTTCACACGTTTTATAAAGTGCTTTTGCCCTGCCTAGTGCCCTGTCAGGTCGCGTGAGACCTCTGTGGGGAAAATTTGGGGATTTCTCTAAATATCTAAAATTACAAGATAGGTCCTATCTACCTTTTCAGGTTGGATATTCGACCAGACTGGAAGTTACGACGAGGCTTTTGTCATCTTGGGAGTCATCTCGTTACTACCATTACTGTCGCTGCTCGTGGAAAATGCCATCAACTGACGGAAGGATTTATGATAAATGTGAATAACCAGTTCACCTTGAACATGAGTACAGGCTTTACGATTTGCAATTCTAAATGCTTGAATCCCATTAGGGCAAGTAAATATTCGGTTGTTGCGTTGCTGTACCTTCCGCCATTAATATCAGAGGAACCGTTGTGCAATGAAGTGGGATTTGGCACAAATCCCCCAAGTCATGATAAATGTGAATAACCAGTTCACCTTGAACATGAGTACAGGCTTTACGATTTGCAATTCTAAATGCTTGAATCCCATTAGGGCAAGTAAATATTCGGTTGTTGCGTTGCTGTACCTTCCGCCATTAATATCAGAGGAACCGTTGTGCAATGAAATGGGATTTGGCACAAATCCCCCAAGTCATTTAAAATTTAAGGATCAGTCACATTGCTTTGACTTAAATTGGTTATTTAACAGGAACTTGGTCATCGTTAACCATATCATGACTAACGTGGCAGCTTCTCTTCATATTTATATTTACAAAAGCGTCATTTGGGGAGTTCAGTTCAGAATGCTCTGATTAAAAAAAAAGTCAATGAGGGCGGCAAACAAATCTATCAAATTAATGATGTCATAATACATCTCTCGTTCGCCCCAGAGTTTCTTGACCAGCCATAGGGTTTTTATAGCACAAGAAAAGAGAAAAACCGGGTTAAGTAACTTAGATGTCATTCTCGGCAAATGACCACGGCCATCTGCCTGAAATTCACCTTAATCTGGTTCAAATTGGGACTGTTAACGCTATTACACGATACAGTGTGATACAGCTCTCGCTGTCTGACCTCTTTTAATGCACAGTTAAGTGCAAGCAAGCACAGCGCTCACGCATGAGGGCGCGTTCGCCCGGATTTAATCAGTCTCGAGTATTGTCACATAAGGGTATAGTTACTTTCCCTGAGCCCTTATTGATACAGCAATTTTTGTCTAACTTCAGCGCTAAACATCTCAAGTTGTCAACAAGGATTTTAAATCACATCGGTACCAATGTGTTTTAGAACGTCTAGTTGATGTCTGTAATGATTTTATATTTGCACAGCCAATGAAAGTTTTGCAAACGAAATTTTTCTTCGGAGTGTTTTTATCCCATGTGCTCCAACGTTTAAGACAAGCACCCACTTAACATGGAAACACCCACAATCCGTCGTGGTCTGCTGAAGAGGCCTTGTGATTGGTCAGATTGCACGAGATTCATGACTTTATAGCCCGTCCTAATACGGTAATACTCCAGTCTGTTAATCAATGAAACGGTCGAATGATTACAGAGCCGTTGTGTGACGTCATCAAAACAGGCTTCTATGGGATGCTCCCGACGACTTTCGTTTTAAGTTTTCCTGACATTTTGGAGGACTTCAACTCGAGCTTTTGACCTTTTTGTGGTGGACCAGCAGACTGGCCTGATCGGAAATAGAATTGACCGGGCCTAACCCCACAAATATATTTATTTAACCCTACACAAGAGTGAGCGGCTATCCAAACGCAAGGGGGGATACCGGTTAATAAACGGTGGACTATGTCTTAGGGGCTGTTCGTTAGGTGGAAGTTTACCACAGCTCTGTGATTGAGTAATTGATTCC